GAGGTCGCTCCCGCAATCCCGCACCGCTATAGGCTCAAGATGTCATACCGCAAATTCTGGGTAACACATCATCGATACAAATAGTTCGACTCCGGCCTTCTTCACCACTAGCCCTATATTCTTCCAGCACGCGTGTTTTTGCTAGTTTGTAATTTCTAAAAGCGTTGCGCCGTCGAGAACGCAGCAAGTTAGACTACGTAGTCTGTTTACCTCAGCAGCGAGACGGCTGTTTGGAACGGACAAATCCGATAAACGATCAACTTACGGAGCTCTCAGTTTCCGGGAAGAGGATACAAAGGCACAACAGGCGCTACGAGTGGGCGAAGTATCCCAGCTATGGGGCGAGCGATATACTGGCTCAGCAACGAAATGAGTGAATTATCTTTTACTTGACAAGCCGTTTTATTAAAACAATTTCGTAGTAAAACGCTCTACGCATGGTTCAATTCGCCAGATTTGATAGTTCTCAATCGATATTTTGATACATTTGTACTTAAAGTACTCGATGGCTCGAAATCTGAATGACCATGAGCGTGGACTGTCATCGGGTAATCCACCCCGCGCCGGTCCCCACCTGTACGAATGTGTCGGTGATGAGGCGCTGGTAACGGGCCAGCACGCGCGGCTCCGTCACCAGTCGCAGCACCGTCTCGTCGTCGACCAGGATGTCACAGCCGTGGGCGGCGCAGGAGATGGTGCAGCCGACGCCGTCCTCCATCACCCGGGTGGTGAGGTAGCCGGACCAGCAGTCCGAGCAGAACCGGTGACCACACGCCAGGCCCGACATAGCCTGCCGAGGGAGACAGGGCGGCATGGGCTATAGATGGACTGCTCCGTGTTTACATTCTACCAGCTAAGATGACCACATGATATTGTATGCGACTTCTCATTTTCATCAGTTGGGCTCAGCCTCTCCTTACTTTACCCCGCAGCGGTAAATAAAAGTCTTACAGAATGCAAGCGATATTCATATAAGCCGGTGGTAAAATAGAAGCTCTGAGTCTGACAGATGATTCTGAAGGGCTGGACTGCGACTGACTCACCAGCGGGGACCGCTCGTAAGTTCACCCTGCAACTCACCGAAGAGGGCTGCTCGGTGAGGCAAATCTCACACTGTTCAACACCGCCCAACTGGGGTTGACCGGTCGCCTGAAACGAGCTCCCATCAGCAGCCGACAGAGCAAGTAATGTACTCGTACATGAGTATATAATTGAGCACTTGCATAAGATGAATAGCGACATGTCAACGTACACAAACATGGCATCCGGAAAAGCGAAGTGCCTTGTTCCTAATTATCTGTCGGCGTCAACATTGCACACGAGGCATGGACAAATTGAACATGCTCACATGTGTACGTTTGCTGTTTGGGATTTAGTATCGCATTTACTGCTTCTTAAGGCTAAATAAATTATTTCAAGCATTCCTTGATGTTTATTTACATAGCTTAACTAGCATACGGAAGGACGGTTAAAATTACCCAAAATAAATATACCTTACGTATCGAAGCAGACCTTGTTTGTTATGAAGGGACTGACTACATGAGCTTCCCTGAAGAGCTGTTCTTGGTCCGTATCATAAAATCTTTCCAAAAGCTTGGCCTTGTCCCAGTTGAAATGATTCAAGAGGATTCGTACCATCGTTGTTGGCAGCTGAAAAATAGAGCACTTCAGTATAAAAACTCAAACAAAATGTTGCAACATAAGATATATTGTTAGGCTTAACCCTATTCCTGGCGGGGGGGGGGGGCCTCAGGAGCCCCCCCCCCTGAGGTTTTTTGGTTATATCTCCCAAACGCGTTGAGCTAGGAAGCTCAAATTTTCTGACTTTTCCTAAAAGGCTTCTACGCAACATGTCTGAAAATTTTGAGTTGATCTGACCTCAGGTCAGGTCACCAGAGGCGGTTTGGTGACGCTACCTCAGAAAAGTTTGCAATCACGCCAGAGCTAGAGTTTTTGACCGATCAATTTCTTCTCTTCAGGGCTTAGTTAGGGTACCAGTATGTGCAATTTGTATATCTCGGAATTTTGATATCGGTGACCTAAGGTCAGGTCAATTTCGCGACCTCCCCATTATAAGTCAATGGGGGAAAAATCAACTCCCTGTTTTTACCACTAAAACGGGTCGGAATGGCCCCATATACCATACATGACTTCATATACGATCAACCTTCACTACCTTGAGGTCTGTTTTGCTGTTGGGCAGCTGTGAGGTCATGTGACGTCATCAAAGGTCACCAAAGGTTTTTGGCCAATAACTCCGTACAGGAACAAGATACAGACGCGTGGATGGTCTCATTGTGTTCAGCTCGTCAAGACGCATCGAATGATATACATGATGACCTCGAGGTCACGTGACCTGAGGTCAACCTTTGACCTTGACCTTTCGAGGTCAACATATATATCATTCGATGCGGATTGACGAGAGGATCACGATGATGCCCTTAGTTTGTTCCTATCTTGACTAATTCGAAAGTTATTCGAGAAAAACTCCCCATATCTAGTGCCGCCATTTTGACTTTTTCGACCCCTGTGACGTCATCTTTGACCTGACCTGAAAATGACCTTAGTAAAAATTGTAGATCTTGGCCGTGCGTATCCGATGCCGTTTACCGCTTGTCGCTATCTTGCTTCGTTCTCGAGATCTCAGGGGGGGGCCGAATCGGCCCCCCCCCCCCGCCAGTTTCTTGTCCCGGCGGAGCCCGCCAGGAATAGGGTTAAGAATAGTGGGCCTATTTCACGTTCCGTTTTTTCGTTTTGTCATTTTTTCATTTTGCATTTTTTCATTTACGAACGAATATTACTATCAACCAAACGATATATTATGCGCCGTGGTAGTGTTGCGCTAAAATAGCGTGATAAAGAGCCACACCACACAGACAATGCCTCATCCACGTGCAAGGGCTCAAGAATATGATATTCCAGCCACGCTCGTCTGTACGAGATGAATGTGACACTGTTTGTGCAGTGAACATATGTCCGGCTTCACTGTGGTTCCGGCTTGGAAATATACCTCAGCGAGGCCGGCGTGGTTAACACACCAACTGCAATGCCGCGCCGTTCCAGCCCATAGCACTTTAATCCACCCGCTGAGCGGGCGGCATACATATTGCACTTTCGGGGCCATCAACTGCACCCTGAGGCCGCCGCCGGGTGGACGTGAAATAGCGGCCCGGGCTGCGGTCCAGGCGCCCCGCGACCGCCTATACATGCATGCATGCAAGGCCCTCATGCAGGCACGACCCCAGTATGTATTTTCCGTGCCACCTGCTGCTCTGGGTCACGTCAGTTAACTACATGTAAGTACATCGTGGCAGCGTAGGTTACAATGGTATGGAAAAAGGAGAACGTTTTGGTTGGGGAAACACATTGCGGACGGTATGAAAATTCATGCGGGACGGGGTCACACGGCCGCCGCCGGCCGGTCACCTGGTATACATATGTATGTAGGTAGGTATCGAATCAGGGTATACGACTACAGCCATAGCGAATGCGGCCGTAGCCACTGGTCACTGAACACTGGACGGGGTGGTTACTGGATGCAGTCAGCGGGTGCGGTGGTAGTCGGTAGATACGGGATACCTACACTCTACAGTCAGTAGTTACGAGGGATACCGGATACGGTGGGAGCGCGTCAGATATTTGGTGTATGTACAATACATAGATGAGGAAGGGAGCCGACCGACCGTTCCCATTTGCATGCTCCTCTTTGACCAAAACGCAGAAAACGGGCGGAACATTTCAAGCAGGCAGCAGCGGTGGAAATGTAGTTAGAAAAAATGCATGCTATATTGATTGCTAGACATTACTTCGCAATTTGTAATGGAATTTTGATTTAAATGGCGAATGCTTAGATCGTATAACGTGCTGGAAAGGCTTTGGCATTTGCCACCCCAGTGACGTCATCTGATCGCGTTTCAACTTTCAAGTCAGCTGACAAAAATCATGCATAGGTACCAAAGCAGAGTGATTCCGAGACCCGTTTTAGCCAACAATTTTAGCGAATCCAATATGCAAATACGTGCCACTGCTTCACTTCAAACGCAATAAATTTAAAATTAGTTCGTCAATCTAACGAATATAGGTAAACAATTGCAGTTCTATCGGCAATCGAGAGACACAATCTACACTTCTACAGACAGCGCAAAGCCTTACCTTCATGATCTCGTTCACTTGATTGATCTCCGCAAGCATGAATTCTACTAATTCATCGGCAGAAAGAACATCAAAAATATATTCATCGTCTTCCTGACTTCTAGATTCAGACGTCGATGCTTGCGGCTCCGGATGATTGTTGAGATTGATCTCATCCTCGCTGGACACATTCCTAGAATCAAGCTCGCACATCGAATGTTCGTCTCCAGATCCTTCATTATAAGGAATAGACCCATTATTGAAGTTCATGACACTTTGGAGGACACCAGCACACAATGATACATTAATTTCCCTTATCTTTTCCCGCGCACTCCATCACCGCAACTCCAAAATTTTGTTTATGCCGCGGTGCCATTGTGATTGGTGAATCAGCTGATTCAGTGCTGCCACCTTTTCTAGCGGAAATTTTGCCAAAAACTTGCGAAATTTCTCAAGACATAAAAGGCTCTTCATTGGTTCTGCAATTGCTTACTTAGGTTTATTGCTAGTTGGAATGACAGTTATTTTGAATTTCAATGCCTATGCACGCTTCGATAAACTGCATAAAGGCAAGAAGTGGCAACAAAATCGGGTTCCGATGGGCTATGGCGATCTCTTTGCCCGATCTTAGGAAGATATCGTCTAAATTACTGCTAAAATAAGAATCAAGGAAGAGGGAGGTCCCAGCCCACAAAGTACCCTCCCGTGTGCGCTGCCTCTGCTCTGCCTGCCAGCTGTCGCCGCCGGCTGCTGGTCCCCGCTCTGCCCTCTCCCGTCGATCAATGGTTGGGAGTGGCGTCAGGTGCTGCCGCCTGGCGGGAGGCTGCCGAACTACGAGCGGCGGCGGCTCGCCGAGCTGGGAGTGGGGCGGAGAGCGGCGGCGGCGGTCGGCGAGGCGGCAGCGACATGCAGCGGCGCGGTGGCTCGAGTACCGCGGTCGTGCTCCTGCTCCTGGTGGCGGCACTGATCGGTGAGTACCTCGGCCAGACGGTGACCGCCCAGGACCAGAGGACGAGGTACCGACGGACGGCGCGGGTCAGACTCACCGGCTCCGGCTGCCGAGGACGGCAAACAGAACGGTTTGTTGTGATGTGCATGCATGTGCACTGCATGTGAGGCCGCAGTGAGACCATTTGGCGCATCCGCTGCGACTCTTGGTGCTCCCTTCCTTTTTGCAACCCCTCAGATGCTCTGACTTGGCTGCGAAACGTTCAGTTGGATCTGGGTCACATAACCGACCGCCGGATGCTCCCCCGCGTACCCAACGAAGCAGCAGCGACCGCTCTGAGGCAAATGGACCGTCGACGTCAGAGGTGTTGGATGGGCGCTAGTCGGGGGCTCAAAGAGTCGTTAGACTGTAAAAGGGAGTTTTAATACGCTTCATTCCGGTTACGTGCACTACTAGACGTCTCGTCATGTTCTACATAAGTCGAGCGCGACTATAGGTACTGGCCAGAGTAAATTCGTCCTTTTTATCCTTAGGACAAACTCACCATCATCCTTGATGACACTTTCTTGTTTCGGGACGACGGCTTCCAAGCTGGAACCACAGGACATGCTCCTCAGGAGTGACCGTTTCAGTGGCTGAGCGGTCTGCTCCACCGGAACATGCCCATCCCAAGGGACGAGCTCAGTCACTGTGGCTCACTCATCAGTCCATAGGCTGCCCAATGTCTTCCCTAGCTGTCTCTTGTCATTCGATGGCCCGTAAGAAATGTTAGTTAACACTGCGGAGTCGATGGATTTACGGCGACTCCGACTCCGACTCCGACTCCGGGCAGAAATGTCGACTCCGATCGACTCCAACTCCCGACTCCGACTCCGCACACCTGGCAGGGCTGCGGAGTCGACAGATTTTCGGTGACTCCGACTCCGACTCCGGCTGGGGTTCCCAATATCGACTCCGACTCCGACTCCGACTCCGGTCACAACTGTCGACTCCGACCGACTCCGACTCCGACTCCGACTCCGACTCCGCAGCCCTGGTTAACAGTAGCACCACTTACTTGCTCGTATCACCCGGGGTCGGGTCCGGGAGCGCGCTGGTCAGTGCCGGCGCGGGGCGGTGACCTGACCTGACCTCGCCGGAGGGGCCATGACGTCATCGGCGGGCGGCCGCGCGCTGGGGTGTCGGGCTCACTTCAGGCAGCGCGAGTGAGCCGGCCAGGACGGGATGGCTGTGTTTGTGACGGAGGTGATAGCAGCTCACAGCCTTTTCCACCCACCTACCCCATCCAGCAGTGCATCCCTTCCCTCAACTTTTTTCTGTTTCGCCTCAGTGCACTCCGTCGCCCGTGTCTCTCGCTCCGTTCGTCAGAATGCGAGAGGGAAGGTTAGGTGAGAGAAACGGGCGGGGGGGGATCATCAGCTAACGGTGACTGGTGAGTGACTGAAGCTGATGATGTTCACACCTTTACAGGAGTGACCTAAAGATAGCAACTGATGTGGTCTAAACGGGGCCTGCAGGAAAATAATCAACAAGCGATGCTAACATGCATAGTTCGCGTCGCGTTCTTATGCTCAGCTCGCAAAGGACCAAACTTGGGTCGATTAAAGTTTTGGAACAATTAGCTGACGTTTTATGTAATAAAGTCTTGCTGTATGAGTTGTGGCATGTATTGTTCAGTACGTCCAGGAAGTAATGTAAAAGGGCCTTATTGACCGATTCCTAATCCTGTCTGCAGAGGTGCGGAAAACCGACTGACAATTGCAAACAGCGCGTGTAATATGATAGAGGCTCGGTCACGTCCAGTGTGCGTTGCGGGCCGCGCCGCGGCTCGGTGGTGATGGTAACATACCGCTTGCTGATACTTCTGATACTTATACCAACCGGGAAGTGCCCTGTGTCATAGGTATCCGTCTTTTTGCAGCCACCAATGAGAACCGAGCTATACATTTTGTCTTACCCGATATGAGCTCATACACGTATCCAATGACCGTCTACATTTTTTGTCTTATACCTATCTTGCACACCTTGCCATAGTTATCTCAAGCGGTTTGCTGCATTCTTACGGCTAAGCTAAGGGACTGACAACCCGTCGCTGTTCGGTCCCTTAGGAAGCAAGTGTTTTGTGGACAATGAACACTCAACAGTTTGTCCTTTCCCAACGCACTGCGACGAATAATAAAACTTAACTTTCAGACGGATTTCAATTTAACCAATCATCAGGCAAAGGCTCAAAATAATTGTATCAATATCATGCCAGCTTACAGCAACAATGCTTATGTCCCCTCCCACATCCTTCATACCTCATCACCTAGACTCTTACCTCCCGAGTCACGTCATTCAACATGGCCTTATTGTGAAAGGCCAATCTTCTTTGGACTTGTTACGGAAGTCGGCACCCTCTACATGCATCTCAGACTGGTTGTTCTGGTCTTCACTCCACCCGAATGAAATATTCGGGATAGACGACAAAGTTTGGAGACGAACGCTACATTTAAACGCATCGAGTTTGGGCATCGACTAAGCTTTAGTTGCGGGATACGGACCCGTCTCGAGATTCTGCTCTCGAATTGAGTTACCACGCAATGTAGCCTCTAGCACCGACCGTTTAACCCTCGCCCGTATAGGGGGGGGGGGGTCGAACGGACCCCCCCCCCCATGGTTTTTCGCGAATAACTCGCGTAAAAAGCGGCCGATCGCGACGAAACTTTCAGTACCCTCGCGTTCATCAATTTCACACCTACCGTGAAAATTTCATGACCCTGACCCAAATGACCTTTGACCTGTGACCTACTTTTCGAGACCATGTTTGGCTGGAATCGCGATTCGGCGTATGTCGGCTCGCATTAGCCGCGCGTTTGCAGTCTTTTCGTGGTTTCAAGCGTTCAAACATGTGATATGATGTTGCCCCCATGCATTAGGGTGGGTGTCAAGGTCACCTGAAGGTCAGGTCAGGTCATTGACCTTTGATGACCTCGGTTCACTTTTTCGAGTTTTACATGTTTCTAGGCCAGTTTTTGGAGCTGAATTCGAATTTAGCAACCATATGAACATTTACGAAGTAGTTTTGGTGCCTTCGTAACATGTTACGAAGCTGTCAGAGGCGGTTGCCACCTACTACGAATACCCTTACTGGTTGACCTGACCTGACCTGACCCGACCTGGCCTAAATACATGAAGACATCATCTGTGATCAAAACTAACATGATATTCGTGATCAGCTCCCCGAAAAACCCCATGGCAGCCACACTTTACGACGTTCTAACAGGTCCCGATTTTCCCGCCTTTGGGGTCATTGACCTGACCTGCAAGGTCAACCAATGACCTAGGACCTTAAAATTGGGTATCATCGGCTTCCTCTCGTCACGGGCAACACGCTCGTTTTTTCCGCGAAGCTCTAGCTCGATCAGGGGCGAAACGGCAAGGGGGGGTCCAACGGACCCCCCCCCCCCCCCTTATACGTTCGCGGCTGGAAAAACACCAATACGGGCGAGGGTTAAACTATCTCATATCGAGCGCTTAAGCGCCTGACCACTCAGACCAGCCAGTTCATTGCTCAATATTAAACGCTCTCGTGACTCGTGAGAAGCAGTAGTCACCTACGTTATAGCAATAGCCTGCGCCTTTAGGTAACCGTTTCATATCCACTTCTATAAAACTATACCTATCTCGCATTTTTGGTTACTGGCCTTATACAGCCGATGCTCTACCTGAAACCAAAAGAAAACCGTTCTCCCGTTCTGGTGATATGTCGAGCCGAGTTATCTCACTTCTGCCGTGACGCTATCATCTACTGGAACCGATGAGAAGACCCAGCCGAGGGAGACCCTCATTATACCTGGACGCAATTTCAGCGTGCACGCGCTGATCTCACGCACACAGTGCGGTACGCAGCGATATGCTCGTTAGCTGTCGCACGGAGCGGAGACCACCGTTAAAGTGAGTGCGGTCACACCGATCAATACGAGGGCACGGGTGACCCCAATGCGACCCCTGACCTCTGCCGGGCCAGCTGTGTAGTCGGGTCACATCTCTTCTTGGAGCGGTCCCGCGGGCTGGCGACGCGACGGTTTGTGTCGGACGGATCGGGGCGTCTGGCGGACAGAGGCGGGGGAGGGGCGGGGGAGGGTGGGACGTGACGGGAAGGCCCTGGTGGTTGACGGGAGGGCGCGGCTGACGGGCTGACAGAGACCGGGACACTGCCGCTGGTGGGACCCCAATACGGCTTCATGGGGACATTGGCGGGATCGGTGGGACCATTGCGTCGGTCGGATGCCCGGTTAGACTTGATGGCACGGGAAATTGGTCGATTCTGAGACGGAGTGATGCGTTTCCGCTGGCCACTGTCACCAGAAGAGTGAGCGATAAGCGTCGCACGACTCTAATTTAGCTGAAGCAATTTTCCGCCTTTTGCTAAGATCCAGTGGCAACTGTTGCCTAAATCCGGCCATTTACTGCTGATAGTGGCACATAATCTTCCACTCCTGAATCTGAATCTCACCAGAACTCGGCAGCGGAGTCATAAGCTCGTTCACGCTCTTGTTCATTGAGTGCCGTTCGTCGAATAATCATCGGCTAGAATCAAAGTCGCATTCATTTCTATGCTCGTTATTCAGTTATTGCCTTGGCGGTATAGCCGATTCGTCCAGCTTGAGCCGATAGGATGTGTCTATTGTAGTCCGAGTGACGACTGTTGCGCGCAGGGTGTTGCGCGCGTCATCAGTTCTGTCCTTTTAAATATAGGTTTATCCTTATACAGGGTGTTTCATAATGAGTGTTCATTTTAAATGTACCATTGGAGGATCTTAAATACAACAATGATCGATAATTTTATATGAGCATTGTTGCAAAAAGATTGGCTTTTTATCTGTGCAAAAATTATCCCAAAGCATTCAGTCTCATGGCCGCCGTCTGCCGCGATATCAGCAGCACAGATGCGGTGCACTGCGTCGTTCACACAAGGAGAAGCAGTTTGGGCAGTCGCAGAATATGGTAGGCTGAGAAAGATAACTGCGGTCCGCCGT